TCGCGAAGAAGGAGAGACAAAGAGGGGGGAGAGAGAGAGAGAGAGAGAGCTCGGTCGCCGGAAATACATGCTCGCCAGAAATCGCCTAGCTCGTCGAAAATTGCCTCTCTCGTTTGTGTGAGAGAGGAAGAATGAGTGAGAAATGGTTTATATAGTGGCATTTTCGTTGTTACTTAAGTTTTGAAGGGGCATTTAAGTCATTTTGCCCCTCCCCAAACAGCTGCTCGCATAAGTCGTTTTTCTAAGCACCTCGCGAGCAACTTCAACTTTTAAGCCAAATTTGGCTTAAATTAAGCCATAATCTACGTCCATAAGTTGTACCAAACACACCATAACAACTTAATTTAAGCCAAAAGTTGATTTAAGTTGAAATTAAGTTCTGCCAAACATCCACATTATTGTTTTGAGAATGGGAGTTCTAAGCACGGTACCTATGCATAAGTTTCGCTTTTGTTTTCTTTGGTGAATATAAAGGGGGAACCTATTTCTCATTTTAAGTGTACCCAATTCACAACTCTACTTGGCGTTTGGAGAGAGGAAGAAAAGGAGAGGGAAAATGGGAGACCAAAAGCAAATTAGTTGTGGAATGTTGAGCCTCATCTTCATTAAAGTAAAACCTTACTTGGCGATGGTCTCCCTGCAGTTTGGATATGCAGGCATGCACATCGTCACCATGGTTTCTTTGAAGCGTGGAATGAGCAATTTTATACTCGTCGTCTACCGTCATGCTGTTGCCACTCTCGTTATTGCTCCATTCGCACTTGTTCTTGAAAGGTCATCTTTTAATTACTCTGTCTTCTGCTAATAACACAAAAATTAATCACAGAATCAGACACACAATGCAAATGGACAAAATTTTATGGAGTTTCTTAGTGTGGACCACTTCTACGAAATCTTGTTTTCATATACATTTTGTGTCTAATTCTATGACCAGTTTGGCTTGGTTTGGGAAGTGGGTTGGCTTTTTGGCTTTTTGACTTTTTTGGCTATTTTAGCCTGGGCTAAAAAGCTTGGTTTGGGAAGGGCTTTTTGGCTTTTTGGACTTTTTTTGTGAGAGAAGAATGTAATGATTATGGGTTGGATGTAATGTTTTGTTTGTTATGGCTAAAATAGCCTATTTTGTTTTTTGTGGCTAAAATAGCCAAAAAAGCCTGAAAACTAACTTGCCAAACAAAGGCTTTCTATGTTTGTAGAGTTAATAATAGTTTGTCATTGACGTCCTACTAACATAACTGATTCACATCATTTGTGTTCTTTGTTTACAGGAAAATAAGGCCAAAGATGACACTCTCGGTGTTCCTAAAAATAATGGCACTCGGTTTACTAGAGTAATGTTCCAAGCACCCACCCTTTCCATATAAGGATGATGTTAAAATGTAGACTTTCATGTGTGTAAAATTTAATTTTTTCACTTTTTCCTTGTTCAAAACTCATGAACAAAGGTCAGTTGGGACTTTGGTTAATTTTTTTATTTATTTATTTTTTAATCCCAGCTCTTAATTTAGACATTTACGTAAACAAAATTCAATCAAAAAAACAGACAAAATTTTTTCATGTAGAGCAGGGTTCATGCATTTGTAGACCCAATCTCATATGAAAGTGGGTTGCGTTTGGTTATATGATCTAATTATGTACATTTAGAATTTTTCATAGAAGCACAACCATTAGGAAAATTATTTTGTGATCTGGTACTATAAATTCTTTTATGTGAAAACTCTTAAATATGTTTTTATAGATGCATGGTGGTAACAAAATCATACAAAGCTTTTAAAAAAGGAAAGAAAGAAAAATAATTAAAATAAATAAAATCAAGAAAGTTTCTAAAATGCTATGCTAATAGCATTGTATTTTTTCTGGATAGGCCTACATATTCTACCACGATAAATGCAATTTTGATACTTTTTTCGTCAATTTTTTATGAATCCGTAATATTACTACTAGTTGCTAAGAACATGTGTTTCTGCATGTTATCACCTTTTGCTGACATTTTTTTAGAAAATGTTAAACAATAAGGATTTTTATACATAAAGTTCATACATAATAATATGATAATAATATTTTTATGAGGCAAAATTTCGCTTCAGAGGTAATTTTGAAAAATAATTACAAATAAGTAACAAATTTTATAAATATTAATAACTAAAAACATAAAATTTTTCATGAATTTGTAATAATTTTATGAAATTACCACTAATCTGTAATTTCTCCTTTTTAAAATTCTAGAATCATTTTTGTGGGCTTCTTTTCTCTTTTTTTATAGGGGTGTGGGCTCTTATTATATTTTAGAGGAGGAAAAAAAAAACACTTTTATTGCTATTGGAGGTGCTTCAAGTTTGGAATTTAATAAAATTGGCTAATGTTTTTTTTTTCTTGGATTAATAGGCCAGTAATTGATCAGAACTTATACTACTTGGGGTTGAAGAACACATCAGCAACATTTGCATCTGCAGTTATGAATGTCCTCCCTGCCCTTACCTTTATCATGGCAATAATTTTCAGGTAAAACTTTCATTATTGTATATATATTATGTACTACTTCTTAATAATAAGGATGAAGTTATATGTAGCGGCCTATAAGCATAAAATACAAAATAATTGGCAACAGAATAAATTTTGGTTTATATAAAAGTTGTACAGAATAAATAAATAGGGTATACAAATAGGTCCTACATATTTAAATTTTACTCCTTTGTCTTCACATGTCTCAATATGTGAAATTTAATTTGAACTTTCGAATAGAAATTTTATGGACAAATTGTACTTGTGATACTTGTGATCCTTGTTGTAATTTGTCTTTTGTATCAATTTAATCTCTATAATTTCAATTGTATTAATCTTTTTTTATCCAATTTCTTAATATATGTCAAGAAATTGAAATTATAGAGCATTTCAAATTAAATATCAACCTCTCAATTACGTGAGTGAACAAACTTTTTATCAATCTCTGCTTCATCTTCATCAATATTATATGATATATATATATATATATATATTTGTTCATGTGGTGATGAATAGGTTGGAGAAAGTGAATTTGAAGAAGATACAAGGTGTAGCAAAGGTGGTTGGAACAGTGATCACAGTAACAGGAGCAATGGTGATGACTTTGTATAAAGGCCCTATTGTTGATATCTTATGGTACTCCAAATCAGGAAATCACCATCATAGCACCACCAATAGTACCTCTACTGATCAGCATTGGGTCATGGGGACAATCATGATCCTTGCTGGCACTTGTGGTTGGTCTGGTTTCTTCATTTTGCAAGTAAGCCCCACTCCTTGAGATTATTTACACACACAAAAAAAAAAAAAAAAAGTTTTAAATGTTTTATGTATAGTTTGTTACGAGTACAGAAATCAAAACATAGAGTACATATGAATGGATACAAATAACTATTTGATCCTTCTATTTTTTCAGTCGATTACATTGAAGCAATATCCGGCAGAGCTGTCTTTGACGGCGTTAATATGCTTGATGGGCATGGTGGAAGGTGCAGCCGTGGCACTTGCTATGGAACGCCACATGAGTGCCTGGGTGGTCGGTTTTGACTTGAGACTTCTTGCTGCAGTTTATTCTGTAAGTATCATACTGTCTGATATCGACTGATATGTGACCATATGATCATATTGCTGATATCAATATATAATATAGAGTAATATAGAGTTTTCTTCCTGAGGGTTTAGTCTCATATGTGTTAAGCTTTTAACAAATTTGACAACCAATCAATCAATTGGATGTTTTATTTATAGCACAAAAGAGATTTCATTGATAGAAAAAATGCTTCTTTTTTGGGGGGGGAACTAAAAAATGAACTTGATGATGATGAACAGGGGGTAATCTGCTCTGGAATAGCATATTATGTGCAAGGTGTAGTAAACAAGGTTCGAGGTCCGGTGTTCGTCACAGCATTCAGCCCTCTCTGCATGATCATCACCGCCATTCTCGGTGCCATCGTCTTGGCCGAAAAAATCCATCTTGGCAGGTATATAATTTGCCACAGATTCCCGTCTTTGGATCCTCTGTTCGTGTTCTCTATTCTAAATTTATGTTCTATCCTTCTATTTGTCATATCGTCACAATTTGAATTTAATATAATTTATTTTTAAAATTATTAATAAATTTTTAGATTTTAACAATGACATAATAAATTTGGATTTGAATTACGGCGACGTGAAAGCAAATAAAGGGTTGGGATTAAGAATGGAAGCCAGAGGATCCCAAACTGTATTTCTCCCTCAAAATCAACTCACAAACTCATGTCATGTTATTAGTGACTTTGGTCCAGTCCAAGATCGGACTGGATCGTTGTGTTGGGTCTGTGGGGTTCACCACGGGTTCCGTTTTGATAATCCGAACCGTTTAATATGTGGAACTCGTCGAGTATTATATGTCTGTAAAAAATCACCTAAAGGATCCCTATTTATAAAGGGATAAGCTTACCTGCAGCCCAATTAACTAAACGGTCCAGTTGCAGGATTGTGGGCAAATTTTGGGCTCATTTTTAGTAATCCAAATGTTCATCTTTCAACATCCCACGAGTAGATCAATCATGTAAGAAAATTTGTCATAAAAAAAATAAATAAATAAATAAATAAAAATAAAAATAAATTAGACAAGTATTATTTCAAAAATAGACTACCTATTTTGTATGACAATTGTGACCAAATCGCATAATTTTTAATATCTTATCAACCTTATTTTTATATGAATAATTTATTTAACGAGTACTAAAAAATAGACAATTTAAATAACTATAATACATTTGAGGGGGCTCACAACCCCCTCAACTAGTCCCTCGAATCCAATTATCTAGGGAAGCCCCTCTTCCATTTAGAAATTAGGAAATTGACATGATTTACATTATTTGAATCTTATCCCAAAAAAATTAAATAAATAAATAATTGTACAGATTGAACATGTTTTGCTAAAGATTGTAACTGATTATTAATTCAATTAATTGACAATGTTGTTTGGTTGTTGATTTGATTGGTTGTGATCTCAGTTTAATTGGAGCAATCATAATAGTGTTTGGACTATACTCAGTGGTGTGGGGAAAAAGTAAAGACCCTTTAATCTCAGAATCAACATTGACAGCAACTGAGAAAGACAAAGCCAATGCATTGCCAGTAGTTGATGCTAATAGATCAACCATTGTTGATGATACAAATGATTGTGGATTTTCTGCCAATAATAAGTTGAAGATTCCAGGAAAAAATTCTCTACCCCAAGAGCCATGATTCAGAATATTGCACAAATGAGAATCAAATCTCTCTCTCTCTCTCTCTCTCTGTATTGTATCTAAATGATGTAACTCTTAGCCTCCGTTTGGGAAGTGGGTTGGCTTTTTAGTTTTTTTTTGTTATTTTAGCCTGGGCTAAAATGTTTGGTTTGGAAATGGCTTTTTGGCTTTTTTAGCTTTTTTTATAAGAGAAGAATGTAATGATTATGGGTTGGATGTGATATTTTATTTTTTGTGACTAAAATAGCCTATTTTGTCTTTTATAGCTAAAATAACCAAAAAAGTCCCGTTTAGCTCTTGCGAAATAGAGCCTTATTTCGTAATTTGAGATTCCAATGTGGCTTAAGTTAAATCATTCTCATTACGACTCTTCTTCTTCGGCTGCATGTATCATTTTGTTCACAAGGATGGATTTAGGCTGCTGCAGACGGGTGCATCGCACTCCCAAAATTTTTAACGGTAAATTATAAACACATTTCATGAAATTTATTTAAAATATAAATTATTTTATATAATTTTAAAAATTATATTATATCTCTTAAAGTTTTTAATTTCATAATAAATAGGTCATTTTAAATCATTAAGTTAATTAACAGTTTTTAATAATGTTAAAATTTTATTTCAATTAATAATTCAGATAATTTTATTATATAGGTGAATAGTTAGAAATTTCACTTTTCAATTAATTTTGTTAAATAAAAAATTCTGACAGAGAGATATTTGTAATTTTTCAAACCACAAGGAATAATTCGTATTTTAAGCAAACCTCAGGGGTGTATTTATAATTTAACCAATTTTTAAAAAAATTATATATATTATAATGATAATTAATAAAATAATTTTAAATTAGAATGTTACGCACTCTCAAAATTTTAGTAATTCTCACTTTCTAAATTAATTATATTACAAAATTTTTAAAATAATATATAAATTAAATTTTATCAAATATTGATCTATTTTATTTGTTATATATATTATTTGAATAAGATTTTACGAGTCGATGATATATCTATTGAAGCGTGAAAATGTTTAGGTAAGAAGGAAGTTGTTTGATTAACTAGTTATTTAACAAGATTTTGTTAGCTAGGAAAATGTCAGAGGAGTAAAGGAAAGTGTCAATATACAGGAAGAAATAAGATATTCAGAATTGTAACAATTATAGAGGAATCAAGTTAATGTATTATACAATAAGAGTATGGGAGAGAATGATTGAACGTTGATTGTGAGATATAACAGAGATATTAGATAATCAATTTAGGTTTATGCCTCCTGGTAAGTCAACAATAGAAGCGATCTATCTTTTAAGGAAAGTAATAAAAAAATATAGAGAAAAGAAAAGAGATATTCATATGGTTTTATCGATCTTGAGAAAGCATATAATAGAGTGTCTCGAAATATAATCTGGTGGGTATTAGAGAAGAAATGAGTGACAAAAGGTTATATTGATATGATTAGAGATATGTATAAAAGTGTGGTAACCACTATTAGATCGTCTGCTGGAGAGACGAGTGAATTTTCAATTTCGATAGGTTACACCAAGGATCAACCATAAATCCTTATCTTTTTGCTTCAGTTATGGATGAGTTGACGCGCGATATTCAAGATGATGTGCCATGATATATACTTTTTGCAGATAATATCGTATTAATGGATGAGACTAGAGAATGAGTTAACACTAAGTTGGAGATTTAGAGAAAAACACTTGAATCTAAAGGATTTAAGATAGAGTCTGTGGAGTGTGATTTTAGTAACAGTTACAATGGAAACAAAGGAAAAGTAAAGATTGAGAGCCAAAAAATACCTAATAGTGAATATTTTCATTATTTAGGATCAATTACTTGGGAGATTGGAGCGGATGTGGTCTACAGAATCAAGGCATCGTGACTTAAGTGGAGGAGTGCATTTGAAGTACTATGCAATAAACGAGTACCCATTAGACTAAAAGGAAAGTTCTATAGAACGACTATTAGACCAACGATGTTGTATGGTACGGAATGTTAGGCAATTAAGAAACAACATGTAGAGAAGATGAGTGTTGCTAAGATGGGAATGCTAAGATGGATATGCGGCAAGATTAAAAAAGACAGAATTAGGAATGAGTATATTCGAGAATGAGTAGAAGTAGTACCGATAGAAGATAAGTTAAAAGATAATAGATTGAGATAGTTTGGTCATATACAACGGAGACCAATAGAGGCAGTAGTGAAAAGATGCGATACAATGATAGTAGATGGTAGTACTAGGGGAAGGGGTAGACCTAGATTAATGTGGACTATGGTAGTAAATAGAGATATGAATCTCCTTAATTTAACTAACGAAATGGTCTTGGATAGAATCGAGTGAAGAAGAAGAATTCATATAACCGACCCCTTTTGATGAAACTGAAAACTTGGTTTGGTTTGGTTTGATTTTTTCTATATTATTTAGAGTTACTTATATTCTTTTATTTGTTACTATTCTTGTTTTTTATTGGATAAATTATACTGACACCCCTTGATATTTCTATTTAATACAGATTTTCCTCTCACATTTGAAAAATTACATTCTCTCCCTGAGGTTTATAATCTCATTACAAATTGTTCCCTAGATAGCTGATGTCATGTCTTAAAATTTTCTAAATGATCGTCTTGCCCTTTTTCCTAACATTTCTTCTTCCTATCATCATGACTATATTCTATAATTTTTCATCATTAAATTCTACATGAACATATTCTTATTGAGTGATAATATACAAAGATAATTTGTATGTAGAATTTTCAAATACAATGATATAGCTTACTAGTGACCTTTTTCTTTAAAGCAAAACATTTATAAATATGATTTATATTTACAATAATATCACTATTAGATTAGATCAATTTAATCTAGATATATTTAAAAAGTATAAAATTTGTACAAAAAATTTTAAAAAAATCCATTGAATATAACAAAATAAGATAATGTATTGAATTTTTATATTTTTATATTTGGTGAATTTAAAAATATATATATAAAATATTATACTTCTTAAGTATATCTAGATTAGGTGTATCTAAAAAATAAAAATAAAAATTGCTTAAAATATTAACAAAATACGAAAAATGAAAAAATTTAATTTTTGTATGAATTAAACCAAAGAAGATGATTGTTATTTCCCTTGAAATGACATGAACAAAATATTTATATTATTTTATATGTATAAAGGTTAATGGACAAATATATCATTTTTAATCTAACAGGGGGCTAAGTGTAATTTTTTAAATGTGAAGAAGGATCTGTATTAAATGAAAATCTCAAGGGGGATGTCAGTGTAATTTACCCTTTTTTATTTATATGTCATTTATGTGTTTTTTTTTTCTTTTATAAATCACATTTTAATTTGTTTATACATCTTATTTTGCATTTATTATTGTTTGTTAATTATCTGGAAATAAGAATATTGCCTACTTCAACGTGACATTCTTAAAAATAAGTTCATAAAATTTAATATCGCTTATTAAAATGGATTATTATTAAACTTATAAAAACATACATTTTCAATTGTAAAATTTTTCAAAACTTAAACTGAGTAATAAGATTGAAGATAATTTTATAACAAGTTATTTGATTATATTTATTAAGAAAAATATTACTGAAGGTTTTGATATCAAGCCTATCATAGATGTTTATATATATAAATAAATAAATATATATATATATATATATATTATAAAAAGTAGTGATTACAATATTTTTAAATAATTAATTTTAGTAGACAAAGACATAATAATAGTTAATATTTTTGATAAGTTCATGTAGATAAAAAAAATATGTCCAATTATATTTATGTTCTTAATTATATCGACAAAGAATATCCGATTAATAATAATATTATTTATTTTTTGAGCTAGTATAAATTAAAATTTAAAATTTTATAATAATTTTTTCCATTGAAAAATTTCATGTATTTTTGTCCTCCCAAATCTCAAATCATAGATCCATCCCTATTTATTCACATATCTTTCTTTTCCTATATCTCAAAACATTTAGATTTATAGGCTCAAATTTTAAGTTTTTCTTACTTTTAAATTTTAATGGCTTAATGATTGTAAGTGTTTTGAGATAAGAGAATAAAAAAATTTAAAGATGGAAGATCCTTAGCCATTTTTCCTTTATGTGCAATAAAAGTAGGGATTGAATTATCTCAAATTGATCGTCTTAACTTAGGAGAATGTTTGGGCTTAGTGGGCATATATTGGAGCAAGCATTGGTAATTTTAGTAATTCATTTTTTGTACTTGTTGAGTAGAATATCTATACAAAAGTTAAGATAATTGAATAACGATAACTATATGTGCAATCATATTTGTATTACAAAAAATGAATGGCTACTTTTGAAATTATAATTTTCATCTTTTTTTTAAAAAAAAATGTGTTTGAAACATATAACTACTTATATCTGATTATTTTAATTTTTTGCATTAATATTCTACTCAACCAACAGTTTGGATCACCGAGATTGATCCCAAATTAGGCTGACTAAGTTCAAATACTCTCTCAAATTAAATGACCAACTTTAGAGCATCCAATCTCATTTTATATCATCTTGATCCTTCATATCATAATTTTGACAATTCTATTTTCAATTTAAGTTAAAATTATTCAATTTTAAATAGACTGTCTAATCATTAATAATAAGAAAAAATTACTCTTCAGTTGTCCTATCAAAAAATAACTACAGATTCATAAATAAATAAATAAATTATAATTATAATTATTAATGTATATAAATTTGATCATTTATTTATAATTTTTTAAAAAATATACACTGAAATTTTCCTCAATAATAAAATAGTGTATTGCTTGAATCCCCCGTAAAACACTTGTTCAGAGAATAAATAAATCATAAATTATGGGAGAAATATATTTTAATGAATAAATAAAAAGATGGGATTTGACTCACAGCACAAAGCTTCTTCCAAATTCCAAGATAATAAATACTATTGCTTGAGTGAATTATAATTTATAAGACAAAAATAATGGGAAAATAATATTTTAATGTAAATTTTAAAAAAAAAATTTAAAAAAAATCCAGATGAATGATAAAATTTATGAACATTAATAATTAAAATATTAAATTTTATCATGAATT